AAAGTGAGAGACTTATTTTTGGGGGCTCCAGAATCATTGCAGATGGTGACTGCAGCCATGAAATTAAAAGATGCTTGCTCCTTGGATAAAAAGCTATGACCAACCTAGACAGCATACTAAAGAGCAGAGACATTATTTTGCCAACAAAGGTCCGTCTAGTAAAAGCTATGGTTTTTCCAGTAGTCATGTATGGATGTGAGAGTTGGACTATAAAGAAAGCTGAGCACCAAAAAATTGATGCTTTTGAAGTGTGGTGTTAGAGAACACTCTTGAGAGTCCCTTGGACTGCAAGGAGATCAAACCAGTCCATCCTAAAGGAAAACAGTAGTGAATGTTAATTGGAAGGACTGATGTTGAAGCTGAAACTCCAATACTTTGGCCACCTGATGTGAAGAACTGACTTATTGGTAAAGACTGTGATGCTGGGAAAGATTGAAGGTGGGAGGAGAAGGTGATGACTAGAGGATGAGATGGTTGGATGGCATCACTGACTCGATGGACATGAGTTTGAGTAAGCTCTGGGAGTTGGTGATGGACAGGGAAGCCTGGCGTGCTGCAGTCCATGGGGTCACAAAGAGTAGGGCACGACTGAGCAACTGAACTGATGATATTCAGTTTATAGTATTCAAATCCCATTATTTTGTTAAATGTCATGTGACAGAGTAGGAACAGTTTGCTAACATGGAAAGTAAGTGTGAAAAATGTGTGTTAGTTGCTCTGTCATGTCTGATTCTGCGACCCCATGGACTGTAGCCTGCTGGGCTCCTCTGTCTGTGGAATTCTCCAGGCAAGAATACTGGAGTTTGTAGCCATTCCATTCTCCAGAGGATATTCCTAACCCAGGTGAGATCCAGGTCTCCTGCACTGCAGGCAGATTCTTTACTGTCTGAGCCACCAGGGAAGCCCCAACATGGAAATTAACCTAGAGAAGTTAAATGGCTTGCTGAAGATCTCACAGAAGGCTAGGGCTTGATACAGGTTGTTTAAGCTCAGGATTTACTGCTCTCCATTCTGTCACTCTGCCATGAGATAATCAAAGACAACCGGGAAAGTAAATGGTGAATGGTTATGAAGGATCAGAGTATGGATGTGAGAGTGGGTGTGTTTGTGTGTGACCAAAAATGGTGGACTTGCCAAGGACTGAAATAAAAATTTTTTTCTGAAATGATAACCAACAAGTCACTAGAAAGGGCAAGATGCTCCAAGTAATAAAAAATGATACCAAAACATTAAAAATCACACAATCAAAGCTCAACTTCCTTATACAAGGAGGCTGCATGAGACTGGCTCAAAGAGAGACAGACCTATCAGCAGTATCTTAACTACTTCAAATATTGAAAAGAACTTTTTCTAAAACCACATCTCCAGACTTTCCCAATGGTCCAGTGGTTAAGAATCTGCTTGCCAATTCAGGAGACAGAAATTTGATCCCTGGTCCTGGAAGATTCCACATGCAGTGGGGCAACTAAACCTAAGCTGCACAGCTACTGAGCACACACACGAGGGCCCATGAGCCACAACTACTGAAGCCCTTGTGCCTTAGAGCCTGTGTTCCCCAACAAGAGAAGCCACCACAGTGAGAAGCCCAATTGCTGCAGCTAGAGAGTAGGCCACACTCATGGCAACTAGCGAATGCTGGCACACAGCAACTAAGACCCAACACATCCAAAAACAAGTAAAAATAAAACCACATTTCCGAATAGTAACTTCTTTATTCTTCCAAATCAATTGGGATGTATGCCTGGAAATAAAGTTAGTGATTTGGCTCTGAAAGAATATAGAGTAACAACCACCTAGAGACTTTACTGGTGGTCCAGTGGTTGACTCCACGCTTCCACTGCAGGAGGCCTGGGTTTGATCCCTGCTCAGGGAACTAAATCCCACATGCTGCAACTAAGACCTGGCACAGCCAAACTAACAACCCTGGAAAAACAATAAGGAATCTGTTTTCCTGCGTTTTGTGAGCCATTCTAACATTATTTGCATTCAGGGAGGGGATCCTGGGAACCTCCAATTTATAGCTGGTTGGTCAGAAGTGCAAGTAACAATATGGACTTTTAATTGTCATCTGAAGTGGGATGCAGGGCAGTCTTGTGGAACTGAGCCCTTTACCAGTGAGATCCAATGGTCTCTACAGGTTGCTATATCAGAATTGATTTAAATATAGGACAGATAGCTGGTGTCAAAAAATTGGTGTGGGGAAAAAAGCCCACACATCTGGTGTCAGCAGTGTGAGTATGGTTGTGTGAAAACAAGGGCGAAATACAGGAATTGAGAGATTTTCCTAACATTAGGTTAAGGGAAGTTTTAGTAGGGTTATTGACAGCATTATAGCAGGATGAGTATGCAAAGGTACATTAGTGGAAGATATAAAATATCAGGCCTCTTTTCAGTGAATGGTGGGGGAATAACCACTGAATGCATTGCATTATTTGTGTCTGTGAATGTGGGAGGCTAAATTATTGCAGGAGGGAGATTGAAAAGTCATTTCCCACACTTCGGCTTTATGTGCCAAAGGGACTGGAATACCTAATGCCTTTAGGGAGTACTAGAGACCACTCATTTCTTTGGTATCTTTATCAAATAGGGTTCAATCAGGATATAGAAACAGTGTAGGAAACATTTAATATAAAGAATTATTAAGTATAACAGAAAATTAGGGTAACAAGGGAATCGGTATTAAAAGTGAAAAGAACTCTGAATATAAGAATAGTAGATATAAGGAGCAACTACTGTACTGAAGGCTACTGCAGGGAACACAGGCTCTTCCTTCCCCTGGGGCTGAGGTCCAGACTGTCAGAGATAGGATAGCTACAGCTCACCGAATGGCAGAGAGGTGCTGGCAAAGCTTGCTGAAGTCTACCCTCTACTGCAGTGGCCCCCAACCTTTTTGGCACAGCACCAAGGACCAACTTCATGGAAGGCAATTTTTCCACGGGCATGGTAGCGGGGGTGGTTCAGGCAGTACTGTGAGCAATGGGGAGCCATGGGGAAGGCAGATGAAGCTTGGCTTTCTGGCCCGCTGCTCATCCCCTGATGTGTGGTGGCTTCGTTGCTAACAGGCCTCCCAGAGGATTGGGGACCCCTGCTCTAGAGTGCAGGGAAAACTGTTCTTGGAGGGGGTCTTGCTGACCACTCCGGATATAAAACTTCTCAAGATGAGTGCTGAAGGAATCTGCCGGATGCTGGGTGTTGTTGGCAGGCCCCCACTGCAGAGTCAAGTGCTTGGGAGAACCCAGAGTTGGAGAAACTACCCCTGATGTAGGAAGGTGCGCGCTTCAGAGGCCTCTTTAAGCATGTGCCTGCCAAGAAAACTCACTGAATCTAGGTAACAAAGCCCCTTCCCTCCCACACTGCCTCCAAGCAGTTTCTCCTGGCAAAGCTTCACACTGTGTTACTTGGCAAAGGACTAATGCTCAAAAGGCCCAGCTCCATCCTGCGATGAGAATTGAGAGTGAATGTGAAGCTGCGAGATAATCTACTGACCTCTGCCACAGGAGGCAATACTCTTAAAAAAGATCAGTTGAGGCAATTAGTGGTTTGTTTCGTGTGAGTTTACATGCTACCTGTGCTGCAAGGTTCTTACTGGCAGCTTAGTCATGGCAAAAAAGTGGGCCTGCTGCAGCTAACTCCAATTTGCAGTGTACTTTTGGGCAAACCAATCCGTCCGGATCTCATTGTAAAAGACTGCTGTTACTTCTATGTGACTGGTTAAAGTTCGAAGAACTGTGGTGTTGCAGAAGACTCTTGAGAGTCCCTTGGACTGCAAGGAGATCCAACCAGTCCATCCTGAAGGAGATCAGTCCTGGGTGTTCACTGGAAGGACTGATGCTGAAGCTGAAACTCCAATACTTTGGCCACCTCATGCGAAGAGTTGACTCATTGGAAAAGACCCTGATGCTGGGAGGGATTGGGGGCAGGAGAAGGGGACGACGGAGGATGAGATGGCTGGATGGCATCACCGACTCGATGGGCATGAGTTTGAGTAAAATCCGGGAGTTGGTGATGGACAGGGAGGCCTGGCGTGCTGCGATTCATGGGGTCGCAAAGAGTCGGACACGACTGAGCGACTGGACTGAACTGAACTAGGTGACTGGTTAAAGTTCGAAGTTTTTTTCTGTAGGGTCCGGACGTGTTCTGTTGCATTGAAACTTTCCTGACGGGTTTGTATAGGAAGTCTGGGACACAGGCAGTCTTCCTAGTGCCTGCAGGAATGCAAAGTAAAGGGAGAAAAGAAAAGGGAGTAGTCCTGCGCCCCTTGCCCAAGCCGGGCTCCTCCAGCAGGCCCAGCTTTTGGCTTCCCGCCTTCCCCGTTCCGCAAGCCCCGCCCTTCTATCCCCACCGCCCTCTCCGCCGGTCCCGCCCCTTCGTCAGCTCCGCCTTCCCCTCCCACAGGCCCCCTCCCATGGCCCCACGCCCTACCTTCTTCCTGCCCTTTACCTTCCCCACAGGTCCCACCCGTCCCGCCGGCCCCGCCCTCCGTTTCCGGTCGGCCCGAGCTCCCTCTCCCTGAGCGCGAGGCAGGCTGGGAAGTTGGCTGCCGTAAAGATGGCGGCAGACTTGAAAAGCTGGAGGCGCTCCTGTAGCTCTGAGGGGCAGGAGGACGGGCTGAAGGCGGGGCAGGCGCGCTCCGGCCCTCCCTGACGGGCGTGGGGGGTGGTGGTAGGGGCGCGACAGACGCGCTCCCGCGTCCTGAAGGGGCGGGGAGGGCAGGCTCGTTGTCGGCCGCTCTGAAGGGTTGGAGGCGGGGCGTTTGGGCCGAAGGGGCGTGCGCGCACGGGGCGGGGCGTATTCGCGGGGGCGGGGCCGCGCCCTCGGCCCGGAAGTGCGGGGTGTGGGGTGCAGGGCGCGGACGGCCCCTGGCGGCCACGGGCTGAGACTGCGGCCGGGCGAGCGGCGCAGGACCGGCGGTGGCCGCGGGGCCAGGGCGAGCATGTAGCGGCAGCGGGCGGCGCGGCGCTCCCGGGGCGGGCCAGGCCGCGGGGGCCGCTCGCGGAGACATGGAGGAAGAGGGCAAGAAGGGCAAGAAGGTGAGCCTGCAGAGCGCGTCCGCCCGAAGGCTGAGCCGGGGGCGTGCTGGACCCCAGACCTAGGCAGGCGGAAGGCTGAGGGGCTGGGGCTGGGCGGGGAAGGACTCGGGGGACATGGGAGGGTCCCTCGGGGCTGCCCGTCGGTCGGCCGGTACGGGGCGTGGGAAAGTCTGGCTTGGGAGGTCCGTGGAGGGGAGTTCTGATTTAGGAGGTTCGGTGTGGGGAGGTCTAGGACGGGAGTCCGGCGTGGGAAGGCCCGGCACGGGGAAGTCCGAGGTGGGAGTCCGGCGTGGGGAGGCCCCAGGTTGGAAGTCCGGCGTTGGGAGGCCCGGAGGCTCACTCTGTTGAAAGTGAGCGTGGTGGGCACGCCGGGGCCCCCAGGTGAACGGCGCACGGTCGGGCCCGGGACAGGGTCGCGGGAGTCAGTCTCCGCGCGCTGGAGTAGGAGACGAGCCCCTGGACAATGGGTTTAGGTGGTCTTTTGCCTGCAGGGCGCGCGGGGGAGGAAGGAGCCACGCCTTTCCGCCCCTTCCGGTCAGTGACTCTCCCCCAAACCTAGGCTCTCCACATGGCCTTCCCCGTGGGTGAGTGACCAGGGGCTGCAGAGCAGCTGGCCCCCGTTATGGGCCAGAAAGTTTTCTAGGGTTAGTGTCTTTGAGAAAATGGGGTGTAAGGTTAACGTAGAAACATTTGTTGCTTAGTTGACTTCGTTATTGGAGTATCAAGTAAAAACAAAAACTGCTTCATGATACAGCCCCTTCACGCTGCTGCCGGTGCGGGCTGAGTTTTGCTCTATCTAGTACCAGCTGAGCGATTTCAGTTACATTTGGCAGTTGGATTTAGGACACAGTTCAAGAGGCTCCTTAGTCTGTGTACTTTTTAAACTGTCTTTAATTACAGGCTCGAGTAATTGATAAACTCAACATTTCAAGGAGACAAATAACCACATGGGATAAGCTATCATTGAAATGAAAAGTGGATTTCAATGAAACGTATCTTTCTTAAGTACAGGCTTTATAATCCCAAGTGTCTTACTTGTTATTTTCATTTTCATGTATGTGCACTTTTATGCACAAGTTTAAAACAGACCTTTATAAATCTTTTGATTTTCTGCTCTTCAGAGCCAGCTGTGTCCTTCAGTTGAGGATTACTCATCACAAGGGGCCCCATTTCAAAAGGTATTTCAAATGAAGTGCAGCCAGATGGTTTTCAGGAGATTGTGCTCTGCTTCTCTCACTTTATTTACTCATTGTTTTGTTACATTCTTAGCACACCTGTCTAAATTGAAGTGCGGTATCAGTTGCAGTTACCTGCAAAGTTGGCTTAAGTCTGGAAAACAACTCAAGAAAGTGATTCTGTAAGCAATCGACCACAGAGGAATGCTGCCCACCAAAAAGGGAGAAGTCTGAATTTAATGTTTTTACCAAAGCTGGTAGAAGGCTCCATAAGAAATGCAGTCAGTTGCATCCTTCCCTGTCACAGATAGGCAGGTGGGCCAGGGCCCTATAGGAGGAGGGCTGTCACTAGCACTCTTGGCTGCCAGCATTCTGTAGATTAGCTGGCTCAGTTCTAGAAGAGGACCAATCCTAGCCACATGGTATCTTCCACAGTCAGTCCAAACGGTGTCTGCTAAGGAGAATTATTCCTTTCAAGTGGGTACTAGCCTGTCTGTGACAGGGAAGGATGAGAATGCCTGAATTTTTTCTAGAACTTTCTACCAGCTCTGGAAGAAATATTTGAATATTTGCATATTGAGAGAGACAGAAGTGGTAAGACACTCCTGAGCTTTAGGAATAGAAGTAAAAAAACCAGTGAAACTCAAGAATTTTATTATTGGAGGCAATGGAAAGATTTAAGCCTAGAGAAGATTAATACATTACATTGTTTATTAAAGGAGATAGTCTGTTATTACGTAGTTACCTAAGCCAGGAGTTTTGTGTTTTCTCTGTATTTTGCCACTGCCCTTGCCCATTTTCCCACAGGCAGACTAGGCAGAAGGCTCTGAGGCATAGATTCCTATCCAGGTCACGACTTAGCACACTTTATCTCTTGCTCTCAGCCAACTGCAAACCAGCAGAACCTTCCTGCTCTCTCCCACATTCAGTGTGAGGTCACATACAACTCAGTTTGATGCTTAAGTTATTATTCTCATTACGCTAAGTTAACCAGAGCTCTCTATTTTAAAGCTTCAACACAAATTCAAGCTAAAGCAGCAAATAAAGACTTAATAGTTTTATGAAAGTGGCATTTGGACATTTAAATTCTCTTTCCACGTTAGCTTCCTCAAAAAATGCAGATTTAAACCTTAAAAAATGTGCATTGTAGGCTTTTCAGGTCTTCAGATGCTTGTCTCGGTGTTCTGTCGAGCAGTTATTCAGGCTTGTTCTAACGTGGCCTATTTCCTCAGGACAGGACTCATCGAGCTGCCAGAGAACCAGTAGACCAGAGTGGATTTCATATAAAGTGTGCAGGTACAGCCCTGTCCTTTCTCAGGCTACCCTGGCACATATGATGAGGATGACTTGAGCCAGTAATGCCCGGTAGAAGGCCCTGGGTGATGGGGTGTGGGAGGAGCTGGTGGGGAGTTGGGGAGGCCTGAGCGATAAGCATGTGGATAGAGAGGTCCACCAGCTGCCAGAGGCCTGGGACCCGAGAGTAGGAGTGACCACGGAGGTCCCTCTCACGCCTAAATGTCCCCAGAGTGACTGGTACCTTTCAGACCACAAGTCCTGCTTGGGGGTTTGGAGAATAAGGCTGCCTCCTTATGGAACAGACCCAAGATCCATGAATTTTGATACTATTCTGTCAAGATGTAATTCTTTTTTGTAGGAAACTTAGGTGTACATTTGAGTTGTACTGTGGGCCTTTTTATAAAAACACTTAACTCAGATGAGGATCACAGCCCTTGGGAAGACATAGTTGTGGAAAGTCGCTGTTGGTCCTCAGCCATGTTCAGGTCCTGGTTTCTGCTGCTTCCGCTGCTGTTGGGTCTGAGGTCACATGATTTCAGCCTGAATGACGTTAACTCTTTTTCCATTTATCCATTTTATTTGTATTCTTTAAAAAAAAATTATAGAGTATCCTCGAAGTATAGGACTTGGTGTAAATGATAATGAAGGTTTACTATTAATTTTGTCGGGTGTTATGTTTGTATTATGTTTTATCAAGTTCTGAACTGGTAGACGCATACACTGAGATACTCATAGGTGAAATAAGATGACTTTTGAGATTTGCTTTACTCAGACTAGAGAGAAAAGAGGGGAGATAGCTGAATGCTTTGGCAATGGGTATTCATTATTTGTTATTCTGCCTACTTTTGTGAATTTTTGAAGTTTCTGTATAAGAAGTGGGGAGAAAAAATTCCTCTCTGTTGTGGGTCCCTAGTTATCAGCTCATGTACTTGCCAAGTCATCCCCTAGCTAATGTCTATGAGGAGCTCTGAGCTTGCACTAGACTAGCCCTCAGGCAGCCATATGTTCTCCACAGGTATGTGTGGGTATGTGTAAGTGTTTGTATGACTGAAATGAAAGTTTAAATAAACAATTCTAACTATAAGCAGTGTACTCTGGCTTTTTTTTGAACTGCTGGTCATGGCCTAGTAAATTGCTTTTATAACTAAATTGATTCTATAGGTGTCCCAGTGATAATATGGGTTAACAGAGTGACTTTGGGCCTCTATACCTTGTTTTGTTTTCTCTCAAATAGTTGCCACAGGGATTCTTGGGTGGCATTTTGGCGCCCTGGGCTGAGGAGGCCAGAAGACCACTGCAGGAGGTATCTGGTGGGGACCAGATGTCAGGCCATCAGTAGATGAGTCCAGAATAACTGGCAAACATGGGTTTCATTCCTTTTCCGGTTTGGGTAATTACCATTTATATAGTATCATGTATTTATTATTTTTTTGCATTAGGAACTTAGATTCCCTGTTCTTCTTCAGTCAGGTTGATAATCCACTGACCGTGATAGTTTAGACTCAGAAAGCTCATCAGAATCTTGGTAGTACTTTTCTGTTTCTGCTCTGATCATCATTTGAGAAGATAGTAAAGGAAGACATTTCTGTGACAAGTCTACAAAGGAACCGCTTTGGAATGAGAAGGGATGTCAGTATTCTGCCCTGTGTGGTCAAGGACAAGTGCCTTCTGTCCCCTATAGGTCTGGTCACTGCAGTTACCGTGGTCTTTTATTTCTTCATTTCTGTCAGCAGTAATAACCCAGCTGCCCCATCTTCATCACCACCGTGGTGTGACTCAATTAAGTAGTATAGATTTAGCTGATCTGTGTGAAATCATCCTGTTTATATATTTGAGTGCCTGTTTCATGCTTAGTGCAGTGAGAAGGGCTGAAGACATTGCATTTTATTTGCAGAGTAAGCTTTTCACACCACGTTAGAGAATGAGAGAGGGCCAGTGCCATTATATCAGGAGAGACACAGGCCTCTGCTAATTCCCCTGGGGGACCATGGATGTGATACGCAGAAGAAGGAGAGGTGCTGGGAGGGGCTTGGGGCCCAGGGCATGGGAGGGTGGAGTTTGGTTTTGGTCCTATGTACAGCTGAAGCCATTGGGAGTTTTCATTCATTCCTTTAAGAACTGTTCATTGCCATTGACTGCGCTGGGTGCAGATGCTAAGGAGACACATGAGCTCTGTGGCCACAGAGCTTGAAGGGAAGCTCAGTGGACAGACTGAGGATGGATTTTAGCGAGTGTGATTTGATAAGAGTGAGTAAGGAAACATTTTTGTTATGAAGACATCAAGTACAAGTATAGAGAAAGTCTTCTAACAGAGCCCCCGTCCCTCAATGTCAAGTATCATCAGTGCATGGGCAGCTTGTTTCAGGTACACTTTTTCCTCATCCACCCCTGTCCCCCAGCTGTTAGGAGCTGAAGTGTACCACCCCCTGCCCCAGTTCATATGGTGAAGCCCTGACCCCCAGTACCTCAGAATGGGTATGCATTTAGAGAAGGGCTTTTAAAGAGGTAATTAAAGATAAATGAGGTCAC